GGTTCGCCGACTAGGTTTCTTATCCCCTTTCTTTCTCCCTTTCCTCCTTTTTACGTGTCGATCGATCTTCGCAGCAGATTTGAGAATTCCGAACTGAATTCTTCCTGGTTTTATCATATTCCTTTTATTCTCTGTCTATTCGTTCCCCGTACGCGTTCTCTATTTCTCTTTAGAACTGCCACCTTTCAGCAGGTAAATTTAAGGATTCCGAACCGAGTTCGCCATCCTTTTCTCTTATCCCTTCGTTCTCGGTTCATCCCGCGCGCTCTTTCTCTCGACAACTGTCCCCTTTCACCAGGCAGATTTAAGAATTTCGAAGGGACGCGATATCCCCCGAACCGCACCGACGTGTTTCCCCGGCTTTTCCCACCGTTGATTCATCGAGAAATTGGGCGAACGTTTCACTTGGCTCTCCGGGCATTCGAAACACGTGTCTGCCGATGGAAGTTCCTTACTCGAGGTTACTCGAGTGCAGGGACCTTATCGGTTTAAAATTGAGATTAGCCGATGCGAACCGTTGCCCCTTATTTCGTCCGTGGTTTTAAATGAAAAATTAGTGGGTCATCGATATTGTTGCGGGCCGGGTTGACGTTTCCGCGAGGTAATACCGGTAATAAAAGAAAAGTGGTTATCGACAGGAACGCGAGGTGTTGAATGCGGAGTTGTAAATTGACTTGAAAAGGGGGAAAGAAGGTAATTCAAGAGCTCACTTTCCGAAGTCGGTACGTTTTTAGCCTTCTCGTATCGCGGGGAATTGAATAAAATTCGGTGAGAACAGTTTTCCTGGAATTCATGGGAGGCCTGTCGTTCCGCTGTACATTCGAATCTAGATGTCGGGAAGATTGAGGGCGTAGAACTTGTTTTTCCTCGTCTACGACAGCTGCAACCCTTGTAAATCACAAAATAATAAGCAGGTGTGGCTCGCCGGGTACAATTGCCTAGTTAATTCCCAATGAATAAAGAATAGTAAGAACATACCCGCAACCGGTGATCATCCGTACACATTCTTAACAGAACAAACCCAAATTGTTCCTCCAACAAGCGTATTACCCGCCCAGAACGGATCACGCAATTCTATCGTTTGAATACGAATGATAAGCACACACATCCAGCAAAAAATTAAGTCCCAAGAAACATCGAATATGGAAGCTTCCACCTGAGAAACGACTTGTACGATCCGTCATTAGATTTGCAAATAAACAGCGCTGAGCAGGAAACATCCCTTCAAGCAATCTCACCGCGTGTACTCTAACGAGGAATAAAAACGTTAAACAGTAAAAAGACGACTGAAGATCAAATAGACAAAGTAGAAGCAAAGAAACCTAGTTTAACCCTTTAATCATTAGTACTCTTTAATTTCTGCGTTTACTTCACGAATAACTTTCCCATCCCGAGTCATAATACTCTTACCACCATAAACAATGCGACATTAGAATCGCCATTACCCTAATTCAACTAGCTGCTTCCTAACGAATATTCACGTTTGGTACAGACCCAGTTCTAAAGTAAACTGCTAGACCGCGTTAACCCCTTGTGCTCCAGTTTCCTTCACAACTGCATCTGCAACCATTTTATCGCCAATAATTCACTAGAAAAAAACAATTCCATATTTCTCCTACGTCTAAATTTCCCCCAAGATCTACGATCACTAATAAGACAAAAATAATTATAAAATAAGATTCCATCGCAAAGGAATATAACCGCGTCGCATTCAACTTCTATTCGAAATTTTCACCGGCAATCTGACGCAATGTTGTAAGACAAGGGATTAAAAGCGTTTCCAGCGGGCAGCACGAAATTCGATGAGCCAACCCTCTAGCTGAAGCCAAAGGAGACGGAAGGGGCGCAATATCTCCGTGAACGGAATCGACAGTGGTATAGTGGCATAACAATTTCGGACACACGCTCGAGCCGGTTTACACGGGGCGCGTCAACGATACGCCCGGCTGCGATCGAGCTACCTCGAACCAAGCCGCGCGGAATTCCTCGCAGCTCCCCGGGCCACCGAGAAAACGCTTCGACAGCGGGCCCTGCGCGACCCACGAAATTCCGAGACGCTCTTCAGACACGTGTGTCCCGCGATAAACAGATCCCCACGTTCGAGGACGTGGCGCTGAATAAACCGATGGGGTTCGACGCGCGAGCTGCGTCATCGCCGGCGACTCCGGCTTGCCGCGTTATTGTTTACCCGGCGAGATTACCAGCGGCGAACCAGGTTGTTACGAAACTGGATTTTCCGGGGGTAACTTACACCCTAACTTACACCTAGCCGGCGTCGATTCCGGCCGAGCTGCTCGTGTAACGGCGCGGCGACGGGATAATCGGACGCCTCGGACGATGGGAATAATTGAGGAATCGCTGATGTCGGACGCCTGGTAAGTGCGGTAATTCGACTGGATTCGAGTCCCCTGGTTTTAGATGGTGTTTACTGTTGAATCCATGTGTTTCATCTATGAGGCGATAGTGGATTCTGTTTTAACAGAAAGTGTTAACGATGATCGATCATTCTTGGGACGGTGGTGAGTCGTCAAGATCGAGAGATTATAGCGAAGACGTGGCGAGATTTTCGTGAAACCTTACTGATTCAACTCTTCGATCTCTCTATTAGATTCGGACTACAATTTTTCTGTATCCAACACCTTGAGTTTATATTTCAATATCACTATTCTATATTCAATTTTTCCTAATGACTCTTTGAAATATTATTAACCAAAGATTGGAAGACTAAATTTAACACTAGGTTTACGGGCATTTACTGTGCGGTTTATTCTACTACTCCTAGAAAAATTCATTCTCGTTCATTCGGATTTTGCTAGTTAAAGACTTAAAAATAGTTAAAGTACATATTGACATAATTGCATCAATCAAAGTCGACGTAAATACATACCAAATAGTGTCTAAAACATTCAATACGCGTCAAACTATCGCGCTCCGGAAACCTAGTGTCAAGATTCATTAAAATATTTCATATTATAACTGGTGCAATATTGGAGCCTACAGAGTTCAAAGGGTTAACGAGTAATCTACGCCATTGTATCTCCTCCACCGCGCGTTTCCTTCGGTTACCTTTGTCGTTCGATGAAATTATCAACGATAATTCAAGGCAACGACCGTAGACAGCATAAACGTCTCGCTCCCCCGGATTAGTAACACGTGAATCTTCGCGACGGCCGGTCTATTTACCCAAAGCTATCCGCCGGTTGTTCGGGCGAGTTACAAAGGAATGAAATTCGTGTCGCGTGTACGCGTGGCGAGCCCCCGCATTGTTTCGCGTACGCGACGTCGCATTTATTCGACGGTGAACATTCCCCCCCTCGGCTCGCCCGATCGTCACCGTAATCCGACCGTGTGTGTACAAACACGGAAACGCGTCCCCTTACGCTGCCCGGATAATAACGTTCCCCGAGACGAAATGAAGTGCGCCGCATTCCTTCGGAATTCCCTCCGTCCCCCGGCGACCCGTCCGATGACGGTAATTTCATGGAGAACCGTCGCGTTCGCCAGCGTTTTTCCGTTCGCCGGGAATTCCCCGGGAATACGTGTCCGCGCGCATACATTACCGCGCGCGAGTGTTAGG